GGAGGGAGAGCTTGCAGCTGAATAAGACTTGGTCTTAAAGGTGCTACTGGACTGTTTTGGGGCTGGGGGGGCTCTGCAGCTTACCTGGCTGCTTCTTGCTCTGACTGAGGGCTGCTGGGAGCAGGGAGTGGGGCTTGTTGCATGTGCCCGCCCCCTGGGCTCTTTACTGCCGGAGCTCCGCTCCTGTGCGCTCCTGCAGGAAGTGACCCCTGTTGCCGTCAAAGAAAAGGACGACTGGAAATCTATCACGTGGGGAATCCCGAGGAGGAACGTGGATTCCCGTCTCCTGCAACTCTGGCCTCATTGTGTATTTGTGAAGTGCTGTCAGTTTGCTTTGGACTTACGGCCCCCGTATGAATTAACGTCTTCCAGAATGTTCTGTCGTAAACGGCCTTGCTCAGGTCTTGTGTAGCTTCCTCGATTTTGAGTCCGTCCATCATGTGGGACAGGTTTAAATGTCCCCCACTCATTCACTTGCTGCTGCTGGATGACCTTGGGTCAATCACAAGTTCTTTCAGAGCTGTTCTTGAAAGGGCAGTTCTTAAAACAGCTCTCTCAGCCCCACCTACTTCGCAGCTGCTGGATGACCTTGGGCACGCCATAGTTCTCTTAGAGCGATTCTTGAAAAAGAGCAATTTCTGTCAGAGCTCTCTCAGTCCCACCAACCTCACAGGGTGTCTGTTGTGGGGAGGGGAAGGGAAAGGAGTTTGTAAGCTGCTCTGAGACTCCTTTGGGTAGTGAAGGCTGGGGTATAAATCCAATCTCTTCTTCTTCTTTACCTCACAGGGTGTCTGTTGTGGGGAGGGGAAGGGAATGGAGATTGTAAGCCGCTCTGAGACTCCCTTGGGTAGTGAAGGGTGGGGTATAAATCCAATCTCTTCTTCTCTCAAGAGCAGTTTCTGTCAAGAGCTCTCTTGGCCCCACCATTAAGAGCGCGGACTCTAATCTGGGAGAACCGCGTTTGATTCCCCACGCCTCCACATGCAGCTGCTGGTGTGACCTTGGGTCAGTCACAAGTTCTCTCAGAGCTGTTCTCTCAAGGGCAGTTCTCGAAAGTGCTCTCAGCCCCACCTTCCTTCCCAGGGCATCTGTTGTGGGGAGGGGAAGGGAGCCTGTAAGCCGCTCTGAGACTCCGAGTGAAGGGCGGGGTATAAATCCAATCTCTTCCCCCTCCTTCCTGAAATAACTGACTGGTGCCCCTTACTCCTTCGCCAGACAGCAAAGCGATTGTGGATGGGAACCTGAAGCTGATCCTGGGTCTGATCTGGACGCTGATCCTGCACTACTCCATCTCCATGCCCATGTGGGACGAGGAGGACGACGAAGAGGTCAAGAAGCAGACCCCCAAGCAACGGCTGCTGGGTTGGATCCAGAACAAGCTCCCTCAGCTGCCCATCACCAACTTCAGCAAGGACTGGCAGAGTGGCCGGGCCCTCGGCGCTTTGGTGGACAGCTGCGCCCCAGGTACGGAAAGCCCGGGCACCTAAGGGCGGCGGCGGGCAGGCGGGCAGGGTTATCGGAAGGGGGTGGCCGAGGGGAAGGTGGTGCTTAGAGCAGCCCGGTGCGAGATACGGGATAGCTAGTGAAGCGAAGGACCGAGAAGGGTTGGGGGTGCAGGTGGTGTGGTAGTTAGAGTTATCGGACCGGCATCGGGGAGAGCCGGGTTCAAATCCCCACTCGCTTGGAGACCTTGGGCCAGTCAGAAACGCTTAGCTTAGTCTGCCTCACAGGCAATGCTCCCTCTAAGCTGTGGAGTCTTTGTGAGCAAAAATTCTACTTTGGGGGCTACTGGCATTCAAAGTTGTGAGCCAGTGATTTGGCTGGTACATAAAATAGTTCTCTCTGGAGCCCTCCTTCCTGAGCGAAGACAAAAATGTGTGAGACAGAGGCTAAAACCCTGTCAGCTGGCTCACACTAACTCAGCTTAGAGGGAACACTGCTCACAGGGTTGTTATGGGGTTTTTATCCATTTTATTCTCACAACAACCCTGTGAGGTGGGTTAGTCTGAGAGAGTGTTAACTGGCCCAAGGTCACCCAGCAAGCTTTCGTGGCCCAAATGGTGATTCAAACCTGGCTGTTCTCTCTGACACTGTGAGGGAAGGCAGAGGACCAGCGCTCCCTCTAAGCTGTAGTGCGCTCCTGCAGGAAATGATCCCTGTTGCCATCAAAGAAAAGGACAACTGGAAATCTATCACGTGGTGTGTCTTTCTTTCCTGAGGGAAAGCTGGGAATCCCGAGGAGGAACGTGGATTCCCGTCTCCTGTGACTCTGGCCTCATTGTGTATCTGTGAAGTGCTGTCAGTTCGCTTTGGACTTACGGCCCCCGTATGAATTAACGTCTTCCAGAATGTTCTGTTGTTAACGGCCTTGCTCAGGTCTTGCGTGGCTTCCTCGATTTTGAGTCCGTCCATCATGTGGGACAGGTTTAAATGTCTTATTGCACCAGTTTGGTGTAGTGGTTAAGTCTGCAGACTCTAATCTGGGAGAACCGGGTTTTGATTCCCCACTCCTCCAGTCGCAGCTGCTGGATGACCTTGGGCAAGCCATAGTTCTCTTAGAGCAATTCTTGAAAAAAGAGCAATTTCTGTCAGAGCTCTCTCAGTCCCACTAACCTCACAGGGTGTCTGTTGTGGGGAGAGGGAGGAGAAAGGAGTTTGTAAGCCGCTCTGAGACGCCTTTGGGTAGTGAAGGGCGGGGTATAAATCCAATCTCCTCTTCTTCTTCTTTTACCTCACAGGGTGTCTGTTGTGGGGAGGGGAAGGGAAAGGAGTTTGTAAGCCGCTCTGAGACTCCTTTGGGTAGTGAAGGGCGGGGTATAAATCCAATCTCTCCTTCTTCTTTTACCTCACAAGATGTCTGTTGTGGGGAGGGGAAGGGAAAGGAGTTTGTGAGCCGCTCTGAGACTCCTTTGGGTAGTGAAGGGCGGGGTATAAATCCAATCTCTTCTTTTTCTTCTTTTACCTCACAGGGTGTCTGTTGTGGGGAGGGGAAGGGAAAGGAGTTTGTAAGCCGCTCTGAGACTCCTTCGGGTAGTGAGCGGTGACGTATAAATCCAATCTCTTCTTCTCCTTCTAATTGGTACAGAATGCTGGGAGCCAGTTTG